GAGGTTTTTGAGGAGCAGGGGCTCTGTCCCTGCCCTGGCCAGCAGATTTGGGCAGGGACTGGAGTCGGGTACCCCGCGTTGTCTGGCCGTTTTGCGGTTGCTGTCTGTGTGCTTGTGGACTGCGACCATTGTTTTCGTGGACAGAACAGCGGCGGTCGTCTTCTGAAGAGGTCGCAACTCTCTTCGTGTCCGTTATGTTCATGGGGATTGCCATGCTTCGGGACACAGATAGAACTTTTTCGTGTTCTATTAGGATCAGGGTAATACGGATTTGGAGTTCAGGTTTTGAAAGCAACGCGAGTACTTGAAAGCAGATTTTGAAAGCAAAAACAGTTTTTTTTTTGAGACTCCTTTTTTTTGTTTTTGGGTAGTCTGGAGAGGAAAGGAGAAGAGAAGAAAGATCGAGCAGAACAGCGGGGGGACGAGCTGGTTTTGCTCGGCCGCGCTACCATTTCGATGTTATGATGCTCTCAAGGTGATTCTGCTACTGAAGTGAATATTCTGATTCAAGGATGACAGCCAGATGCAACCCTGTAGCCACAGTACCCGTGCAGAAAGCTTAACACAGAGTGTAGCACAGTCTGGGGGTGACCCAAGATCACCCCAGCTGCGGCTTGCAATTCAGATCGAGCCAATCCGCGAAACAGCCACTGCAGAGATGTCGCAATTAAGCTTCCAGGTACGATCAGATTGCGTATTGGGAGTCTCGTCGGAACTTCCGGTCCAATAACGGAAGCACTATCTGGCGACAGGGCCATCGTCTTGTTAGGTCTGGCTAGACAATTGTGCCCCAGTGCGATTCGAAGAAGTGGCCGTCCGATTGGATTGGGAAGTGCTTTCCGATGATTTCATCGGTTATAAGATTCTATTGCTTTGATCCTTTTTCTGGGTTGCTTCGTAGGACCTCCAGGAGACGGTGCACTTCCCGTTGAGGTCATACTGTCCCGTTTGCGCTTCTCTGCTTTAGCATTGCTGCGCTGTTTGCGTTGCTCGTCTCGAATAGCCAGCCTTCGTTGCACTTCCTCAGAGATGTCCTCCGTGTCAATCGACACCGGAGTTATGCTCCTAACGTCGTCCTCACCCCCAGGCAGCACCTTCATTAAGCGCTTGCGTTTGTGATGACGGGCTGGGTCAGCAAAGGTCGACATATTCTCTGCATTTAGAACTGCAGCATTAGTCTCCTCGTCTCGTTCGCTCGCTTCTGCGCGTGCCCGTTTCACCCGATCTCTTGCCCGAAGGCCATTTCCGGACGAATCACTCGTCCGACGAGAAGATGACGGATCTGAGCCCGAGTTCGAATGCAAGGTTTTCTCAGCATTTAGATTTCCTACCACAAAGTTAGATTCATCCTCGATGATCCATGGCTTCAATTGGAAAAGTTTTCCTGCAGAGAAAACTTTCTCGGGACGGAGGAAGCAACGTGACGTACTGGAACCCTATGACGGCGTGTTAGCACCATGTCAACACCACCCATACCTGCGATGGGAAGTAGCAAACAAACAACTCACAAATTTGCTTTTGATGATCTTGAACTGCATCATCAGTTTTTTCGTCCGCTCCAGCATGTTGGTAACCAACCGCGACGCATCGCCATTGGACGGAACTTCGCCCTGGACCTGCTGTAGCAGCGCTAGGTGTGATGCCAGCAACGACTCGTGCTGGGCGCAAACCTAAACAATCCAGAAGGTGAGTTTCCACATGCCAAATTCAACAATACCGTACAATGCAGGCGGTTAGGATGGCCAGCATCTGTGGTCATCTTCGGGAAAGTTTTTACACACCTCAGCCCATGACAACTGCTGCTGCGCGGCGTTGACATCACCGCTACCACTACCCAGACTAGGTCTACTCTCGTCATCTACCTCCTCTACAGTGGGATTCATGGAGGGTGGTGGGTGGCTCGATAATGGCATTGCGACAGGATCTGAACCAAGGAGTGAAGTTGGATTAAGGGCGCGGGGAGATCTTTTTGCTGATCGGCCCGAGAATGCTGCTCATCTCTTGGCATTTCCAGCCCGCTATTTTTAGGAACCACCCCCTTCCCACATGGTTAAGCAAGATCGTCTGGGGAGGTTCCAGAGATTGCTTGTAATCTCCGTCGTCATCCGTTTTTATCGCCGTTGGAGGCGATCTGTCGGTTACAACATAGGCTGGGTCATGTCCTATGCGTATCTTCCGGCCTGACGTAACGGCTATGACTCGGTCTAGGGTAACCGCGCTTTTAAAACGGACTAGCAATCCACCCACTTAAAAATTCGAGATCATACTCGATGCTTTACCTTGAGACTCTATTTTATGCTATTTGCTAAGTGCCTGGATATGAATAGCATCTCCTTCATATCTCCATTGAACGTCCTTATCACTTTCTAGTTCTTCCTACTAGCAACCCCATGTCCGACCTGTACAACTAGACCCTGCATTCATACTCGCACATGGTCACCTAAAAATATCTCCTCGCAGTGTCCCGCAAACAGAATCTTCAACTCTACCCTCCCCCACGCCATCAGACTCTGAGCCCCTTATTCTATGAAGATCAGCCAGCCCGGGCTTCCCAGCCCATCCCATCTTCGACACTGGATTAGTCGGTATAATTCTGGGTTGTAGAGTGGGACGATTATACCTTCCTACTCGACAATCTGGACGCCGGCCTAGGTGCTTATCAATCAGATACCAAGCCCATGCTTTAGCTTTACGACATGTTGAAGAATTGAGATCGTAGGCGGACTTGTAAGAACAATCGATTGAGCGCGGTTGTGATTGTAAGACGCGGGGCCGTGCTCTGTCTGGGAAGACGCGACGTCGGCGCTCAACGATTTGCTCGAATTCCATAATTAGACAACATGATCCAGCCTCTAGAGACATAATATTGTTGTATTTGGTAAGCTAGTGTTTATATCTAGGTTCTAAGTATTCTCATGTCACGGCCAACATTAAACAGCATTCAAAGTCCTTCTTGGAAATGGGGAATCAGAGTCGATTGTTGATACTGGGCTCCTTGAGACAAGCTTTGATAAAGCTGCATCATGTCACATTGATCGAGAATCATGTCCAAGAAGGACAATACAATGATGTGATATCAGGCCAAGGAAGCGACACAATACCTCAATCAGCAGGGTAGCCTAGCCGGGCGGACAGCCATGGCAACGGACCTTACACCTCATCTCCGGACTCAGAGCGCTCCTTCTGTTGATCGCCACGCTCCTGACCGGATACTTGGTCACCCTCCCTCGTTTGCTTCGTGTGCTTCTCCCACTTGAAAGCAAAATGTATAGTGACGAAAAGAATAGCTGCTAATATCGAGAGAGCCAGGTACAATTTTGCGCCAATGCGCCAGTGAGGTGCTTCCTCGGCGGGGTAGGCGGCAATGGGAAGGAATGCGCTGAGGAGATATGAGAAAAGTGTGCCGGTGGCGAATAAAACTGTTCGGACTTGAGGTTCTGTCTCGAGGTGCGCAGTTGCCCATGCGCATAGCAGCATTGTGGAGACGCTGGATTTCTCCCCGGTCAGTTTCGAGCGGATTTCGGTTGTCAGGGCGGGGAAAGGGATCAATTGCTGTCCCCTGTTGATTCACTTACGCTCCGATGTAGTTCATGTACCATCCAACCATGTAAGCAGACTCGCTGCTCGGGCGAATGACCAGAATTATGAGGGATGTAATGTTGATTACCTATATTTATATTCAGTGTTTTACATGGCGATAAGATGAGAGATCTCTCTCGGGGGGGTGCTCACGGCATGCAAAAGCAGAAACGGAAGTCTGGTGCCAAAGAAATCGCTGAAACCACTGAAGAGGATCTCCGCGACGAGTTGAATCGCTTGGCCAATAATGGGCAGATAATTGAGCATAGCAACTGAGCTAAATTGTGGGAGTCAGCACCTGAGATATTGATGGGGTGATGAGTTGGTTTACTATTTTTTCGTTCCATCAGTGTTGGTCAAGGATTTGAGCCAAAGATTGAAATAGTTCGTTGGGGTCGTCCCCGTGCCAATGCACCATGCAACTGAGACTTAATCAGCTTCCTTGCTATCCTGTGTAGATAAGTTGAAGAACATACTAGAGAATAGCCAAAGATGCCAGAATCTCAAGGCGCGAAGGAAGGTTCTGGGCGTGATCCCAACTTGTGGGCTCCGGCCGACACGACGCGTGCGCGCAAGAGCAGTTTCTTTGCACATATCAGGTTGTCGGTCTTTCAGGAGATGCCATGTAGACTAGCTCACCGATGTGTCGGGACTTGAGATATATCTTGGAGAGTGGATTTTGTCTTTCCGGCTGTTGATCGTGTTAGTGGTACATCAGCAACCCGGAGGTCAGGTTGCGTACAAATCCAGGCACTGCTACATAGGCAAGAAGGGCAACAGTAATCGTGCATATTCCCTGTTCAGCGAATGCGTTTAGTCTCACTAGCATGAATGACACGAGCTTTAACTCACATTGATGATGAAAGCCCATTGCCAGCCGCTTCTTCCAAGCGAACCGTTCAGATTTGTGGAGAGTGCACCTTGCAGTGCTCCGGAAAGCATAGCACCGACTGGTTGAGCCATGTTGTAAAGACTCATGCGCAATGCCATCTCATGCGGAAGATACCATTGACTAGGAGTGATTGCCTCAGTATTTGTGTTGGCTAACGAGGTAGAAAGATCATACCTGATGATAGTAAAGTATCCCGGCCAGGTAGCGCCTTCGCAGAACCCAATGAGGAAGCGAAGGCCATAGACCTTGTTCTGTTAGACTTTCAACCAATCCTGGAAAATACATCTAGGGCATGAGCTGTTACCTGCTTCGCAGACGTGGCAGTGGACAAACAGCACGTAAAGATTCCCCAAAGAACCTAATTCCTTACATTAACTCGCTGCATGTAAATTGCGCCCGAAGGATTATCCCTGACCTCACATGTAGGCAGCCAAATCGCTGGTCCGATATGAGAAATTATAATGCATGAGGGATAAAGCATGACCATGTAGCCGATGCTAAATCCGATCAGCATGGGTCAATTAGTGTAGAGAAAATACTCACTTGAAAAACGTGGTGAAATAATTTAGCTCGTTTCCATAAAGCTTTAGGTCTGTTTGCATGCCAGAAACGTATGCATTGCTCTGATTAATTGTTCTTAGCTTTGGCCTTAGACTTAGTGAAAGACATGGTCGACTTACAATGTTGGTCTGGTCGAGGTACTTAAAAGCATATCCCAGAAACCCAACAACAAGGAATATCGCATCCAGACGCCATACCTAATATTCCATGAGCTTCAAGGTTCATATTTGATCGAAAAACGACAGAGATCTTACCAGCGCCTTCTCAGCATCTGCATCGACTAGACAGATCTCATTCTGCTCGAGCTCTGTGACTTGGTCCAGGAACTCCTTGCTATGCCTCTGACGGAGAGCCATGCCCATTGATCTGACGAGAAGGGACCGCGATTGAGCAGAACCATCAAAGACTCAGGAACAATTGCGAACTTCATGATTCCCTTGACTGTACGCAGGCTTTATATAATAATTCAAAGGAAACGGCCGCAACAATCGAAGATCGGCTGTTATCACGATGAGATAGTGCGAATGGCATCAGCGCGGGAAGCGAAGACGTGCTCTAGACCATACCCCACTTGCATGATCAAGCTTAAAGAGGGGATCAGTGCGTCTCGGTCTGATCAAACTGTCCCTGTGTGGGATAGGCATGCCGTTATCGGGGTCAGTGAGATGGCTAGCAACTTTAACATCAGGGTAGCTGTTAGTTGTTTTGTTCGGAACCCCTATCAAAACCCGACTGACTGTCAGTGGAGAGCACCACCACTACACGTGGGACAAAGGCAGTATAAACTTAGCATGCAAGCCTTTGGGCTATTCAAGCCATAGCAGCTATTTGAGAGACCCTCACTCTACACTAGTGCCTTGAGGGAGAGAATGCATAACGTCCAATAGTCTAATGGTCACGGGACGTGGTATAGGATAGAATTGAGTCCGGGTAGTCATAACAAATGAGAAAGGAACCAAGCAAGACATTTAAGCTAGTATGTTCAAGTTGGTTATCGTTGAGAAAAGGCTGAAGCGAAAGTAATAGCTCTTAAAGCTCGCTGAAATGGACGGTACTGAGCAGAAATGGGAAATTGAATCATCTCATGTGTGCACTGGACGGGACAGAAAAGAGGGGAAGTGACAGCAATCGCGGGAAGCTTCTGCCGCACTGTTGCCGCGCTTCCTCAAGGAACCGTTTAACATTCACACTACCACCTACCTAGGTGGTCAGACATTCCTTGGAGAAGCCTCTCACATCTTGACTCAATTCCTTTTCTCTGCATTAGCCTGTTCTGCATACCAAGTACGAACAACCTCGTCCAGGTACGCGCTCAGTTCTTGCTTCTTTCCAGGTGATGCGAATGAGTCTACCAAGGTGCTGACAACAAAGTCCTGACTCCAGACTGAGGCCTCATCGTGGGAAAGCCCCCTAGAATGCTTTCCGGTGAAATGCTTTCGCGTCGACTCAGTTGTAGGCAACCCTTTCCCACGACTCAGCGACTCGATAACCTGTAGCACCCCCTGCACAACTTGATCAAAAGCATGATCTTTGCTGTCGTCCGAATCTTGGAGCAAGTCGATGCTCTTGTAGTGAGTCTCACTCAATTCACTCAGATCTTCTGCCTCACTCACAACGGTAATCTGATAGCAGATGGGTGTTTTTCTGGAGGCCCTGCCGTTAGACGCCCGCCGGAATGTGGGCTTCAGATTGAGAAGATATCCAGACTCCGAAGAAAAATGACTGCCAGCAATCTTTCGAGCGCGGTCACTGCCCCTCAGCGAAAGTCCCACGTCGATGAAATGATGCTTGAGCGTGTTCAAAAACGTTTTATCATCTACTGAAGATATGTCCTGCACGAACAGTCCATACGTGGACTTCATCTGCTCAATAGTCATACATCTCCTGTCCTTGAGATTTTGGGCCTGCAGGAAGGGTTGAAAATGATCTCGCATGAGCTCAACTTCGAAGAAATGCGATTCTCGCCGGGCGAGCGACGAACCCCTGAGGGTCGTTGACCCTTGTTCTTCCGGACAAATGAAAATAAAAGGCATGTGCCCTTGAGACAAAAGCTTCGGAATGAGGCCACTGGCTATTATGTGGGATAAAAAGTCGGACCCCAGGAGAATAGCCACATGCAAAGATTTTGCCCGAGGATCTTGGGTCAACGCATCTGCAATTCGCGCAGCATGCGCCGCAACACGATCAATGGCGCTCACATAGAAGTGTGTGCCTCGCGTTAGCGTTCCCATAATATACAATCCGGGTGCTGCTTCGAAAGTGTCAAAATTGACATCCACTCCGCCTGTTGGATGAGGCTTGAAGAGGCCTTTGGTAACAAGCGACCGAATCAATGGGGATGAAATCCGGTCGAGGTGACATTCCTGACCTGTAGCCTCGACGACATATGGTGCTTCAATCAGTCCTGATGAAGTGGTCGCGACGAAAACCTTCTTTTTAGGGTCCCAATCGACCCTTTCACCAGCGACGACGTTTAGCTGGGACTTTTCCATCAGGTCCAAGATCTTTTGGGCGTTTTGTATGGGCATCCCGTGGCGATATCTCATCCAAGGACTAAAGAATTTATCCAAGAATAATTTCTGACTTGCCACTGGTAAACAGCTCCAATATCTCTCGATGACAGGTGCGGTGTGGCGAAGAACGGTCTGCCAGTGAGCGCTGCCATCCCGTGCGGCCTTCATGTCAGCTTGCAGTTCTTGAAGTGGGGAGGCATGTTTCTGGAACCAGCTCCAATCGCCATTGTTGATGTAATCAATCTCATCCATCAAGCATGTCATGAACTTGATTAGAGCGTCACTTGGATTTGCTTCGATCTCTCGTGCAAGGATGTGAAGAGCATATCGGCGGGGAAAAGGCTCAGGGTCCCCTTGGACTGTAGGCACTCGCCCACTGCGTGACATGAATGTGATTGGGCCTTGGTGGCCATTTTGAGCAAGGGCTATAGCGGTGTCAACAGCCGACAGGCGGGATCCAATGACCAAAACCGGAGCATCGGCAGGGATGCTCTTCAGGCTTTCCGTGGGCCATGGACTCGCGAGAAATTGTGGTTGATTCATGAGATGTGTATATGTGGTAGAGGTGAAATTGCCTGGTGCCATCACGACCTGACCTGCAAGACATTGCCCACCGCTACTTAAAGTCAAGACAAATGACTGATCGTTCTGGCGCTCAATATCGGTCACTTCATCGTGAACGAAAGAAACGCTCATCCCTAGCTGCTGGGCCGCATTGAGTGCTCGGTGTGACATGTCTTCGAGGTATTCTCCATAGATGTCTCGGGATGGAAATGGCCCATTCTCCAGCTCGCTCCTCCAACGCGAGAAGTGCTTGGGGTCATCAAAGTATAACCCCATTGTGTCGGTGTGCATGTTGATGATAGTGCCCGAGCAAAGAGAAGAATATGCTAACCCAGGACCAAAACGCGTATCCTTCTCAATCACAGTGATAGGCGGCAAGCTTTTCCCATTCTTGACTTTCTCAATCAAATGCAGCAGAACTGAAATGCCACTCGCACCAGCTCCGACTATGACGATATCACCCATATTGGGATCAGAATGAGATGACTGTGAGCTACCCATAGTAAAACTTGGTACCAGAAAGTGAAGGTTTATTGATGTGTGCTCACTATGAAGTGGCTCTAAGTATGTACAGAGTAGGACTATTTATGCTACTCTCTGATGCGTACAGACCCCTTCGGGGAAACCTGATATCCCTTTTCACGAGGTACCCAGAATAGAACCACAGATATTCATGACCATACTCTGACCACCCGTTATGATCGCCAAGACCCCGCTTTCAACACGACCGTCTCTTCTCCATATGCATTTTCCGAACAAGGAGTGCGGTTCTTGCAATGTGAGCAATTCGGAGTTTCAAGGATGCCTCGTTCATTCTCACTGTCGGCATCCATTGCCAAGAAGATCTTCATGACCAACAACAATATGCTGCAATTTCCGACGAAAGGATCATACTTGCTCAGGTGGAAAAAATGCCACATACATGCATTGATTGCACGATGGGCGATTTTGAATTACACCTGAATTTGCGCGGCACACCGAAAGGCTGAGAATATCAAGGTAACAAGCATAAGCGCCATCTGATAGAGCACGCCAGTTAGAGATATGAGCAATGACAATTACGTTAATCGATTGTCTCATCCTAGTCCGGTGGCTGTCTCTTCACATCTAGACTCGGCTGACCGAGCCAGGAACATGATCCTAGCCTTCGCAACTGGAAACGTGGTGAGTGAAGCATCATTTGCCACGGATACGATAGCGGCCCGTGACAAACTACTCGAGTTTTAAGTGTGAAAACGAAACGGGTCCATGATTGGCTCAGTGTACATGCAGCAAAGATCCAGTAAAACTCCGCTATGCAGCCCGAGGAGTCTTGATTGAATAAGCCCTTGGGAAAGTCTCCGCTCCAAGTCTTGTCCCGTCCATCGCGAGTCAGGTTCTGTTCCTCGTGGTACGTATGACCGCAATTACTGCTTCGATAATTATGAGAGCCTGATGTGCCTGACAGCTACTGGCCCGGGGTTTTGTCAAGGCATGTACAAACGCATGACACACTGATTGCTGGTCTCTAGAGGACAATTGACATGATACACGGGCTTACTCACCGACATTCATCTTCAACGCTCAGATCCCCAGAACCGATTGATCACCCTCCTGGGCGAACATTTACCCGACTAAGCTGACCGGAATAGCATCATTTCAGCTTTGAAGACGATCATCGGCGCCACAGGGGCCTAGCACTTCGTACAGCATCCTGGAGTAGCATAGCTGCAAAGCCCCAGAGTAAGCGCTAGAGACTAGCCCTCACTGCGATTCCAATCCACAGTCAAGGCAGCAATATGCGACCCGAGACGACATGATTGATGCCATCGGCATACCATTTCCTTGGCAGATTGTGGCATCTGCGCTCTTCGAGATCATGATTGGTCCCTGATCCTTCTGCCCTATTGACCCTATTTTTGGCCTAAAGGTTCTCTTAAGGCTTGAAGGGTCTTTGCTCGGCTAAAATAGAAAGAAAGGCAGAATTTAGGGATCGTCCGTCGGCTGATGCGCATTGTTTCCCCGGACTCTTCCCCGTTTCACATTACTCTAATTCCGCGTCGAGCCGGAATAATCGGAGTCGGAGGTGACATGGTTACCGTGCATGCCGCCAGGAGCTCCAGAACGCCTTATGGCAGGCAGCGGGGAACGGCTTGGCATGCAGGCATCTTTCCCCTCCCCCTGGATATTTTTAGCATTAAATATTTTGAAGATCGCTCTAATTTTCGAATCTCGGCCTAATACTTTTACCGGCCACATGTGCGTTGTAGACAGAATTGGACTATAGCGGGTTGTTGTGCATAGTCTATGCATATCTAATTATGTGGGATTCGGTATAATACTTGATACCAAAACATTCGTTCGATTTTCCACAACGTGCTTTCACGCAACCCCACATTTTTCCACCGGCAAATCCTATCCCGAGTCTACTCTAACTCTTACCGTACCTGTTCCTCTTTTTCCGAGAGCAAGGCCATGGTCTCAGATCTTGACCTTGACGCGCCATCCGGTCTTCGAGATCCTCGCCCCCAACAGCACCATCGCACCTAGTAAGATGACTACTCCCGCCCACACCTGGGTTCCGATGTAACCATGGGCCTTGGCAACGAGAGCGCCACCCAACGGAGGTCCGGTCAAACATGCAAAGCTCATGATCGTGAAGCCCATGCCGATCCTCGTGCCAGCTTTACTGAGGTCCGTGATCAGGCTGGAGAGTGTGGGTGGCCAGAGCCCCTGGACCGCATTGGCGCAGAATCCGTAAAGTACGGCGAACGTGTAGAGCCCCGCGGTGGAGTGCACGGCCGCCCAACAGAACATCAGCACGCTCGAGGCCACCGAGAGAGGAATGACGGTGTTCAGCGGGCCCAAGTGGAAAGATGCAAAGTACGCGGGGATCAGGCGTCCGAGGCTGGCGGCCGCGTTGAGCACTATGATCAAGTTCGTTGAGTCGGAGTATGTGAGTCCGATCACGCTGCGGCCAAAGGCACCCACATAGTAGACTGCAAAGTACATGCCCCAGAAGTTGAGCCAGATGGCCAGAATGAAAAAGGTATAGATTGGCTCGTCGCGGAAGGCGGACAGCTCCACGAGGGGGCCCGACTTACGCGGGGGCAGACGAGTGCGAAAGAGCGCAACGGCAGGGATCGTGGTGGCAAGCATGACGAACCCCACCACGCGCAGGGTCCAGCCAAATCCAAGCACGGGGAGCAGGCCCTTGACCAGCCCGGGGAAGACCATGCCCCCTGTCCCGCTGCCGACCAGACAGCAGGCCACCGCAAATACGCGGCGTTTGTCGAAATAAGTGGCCACTAGACCCATTGCGGGGCAGAACTGGAGGCCGCTGCCTAAACCCGTGCAGAGTCCCTGGGCGAGAAAGAGCTGCCAGTATTGGGTGGAGAGCGATGTCATGAAGACGCCCAGAATCTGCAGGAATGCGCCGGCGCAGAAGACGTGACGGAAATAGCCTGCGTCCAGCGCTCGTCCGGAAAAGGTGCCCACGAAGAAGATCAGAAACATCTGGATGGACCCGACCCAGGAGATTGCGGACTCAGATACCCCGAGGTGGGTTTGGTAGTAGGACTGGAAGACCCCGTAGCTGGCGAGATAGCCCCAGGTGTTGAAGCAGACGAGGTGGCCCATGGCAGACTGAGTCCATGCCATGGCTCCGCCATCTGGGGGCGGCTTCACCACAGAGTCTGTAGTAGATGTCGAGATATCATCTTCGACGGTTTTGGTCATGGTTGCTGCTGGCGCAGGAAAAAGAAATCTCGATGCTTGAACAAAGCTGATTGAAAATGCTCGATCTTAACTCAAGAGCTTCAAGGCGCTATTTCTGCTCTTTTGTAGCGAAACAATGCCATGTCTCTTGATAACTAAAATCCAATCCTAGAAGTCGACGTGCAGTAGTTATGAGTCGATAGCGGTATCGGCCGAGTACTTGGCTACCGATTGCCTAGACACTAATCGTAGTCAAGTTCAACAATGAGTCACGGGTCATCATCACTATGCTTTGGGGAAAGTTCTTTTACCAATCCCGTGCAAATTTGGGGTTTCCCGATATCTCCGCACGAACACCTAGTGAGTTAATACCATGTCCGGTCACAACAGCCAAGCGTGCAGCTGACGAAGACGCAATGCGGCCGCGGGAAAACCTCTTCGACCCTGTCGCGACGACCTTGGCATGCATGGATCGCGGAACTCCGTCTTATTTGCATGCAAGCAAAAGCTTTCTGTGGCCGAGAAATTGCCATTGCAGAACAATGTCACTTTTGTTGGTTGCCCCCTTTATCCGTCGCATCGGAGCCAGCCTTGAAACGTAACAGGCTTTAGCAATAGTATGTCGACATCGACAGGGGTATATTATGGCCGGGGTTTTGAACAAAGGGCTTTTCTCGGAGTTGGTTTGATGAATGAAATTCTGGCTTGGGATCCCTCGATTTTGAGGAGAGGATTTTACCGTGAAATACGAAGCTCTTTCTGTACTCACAATCTGTTAGCTTGTATGTATATCGCTGGGCTGATGCTTAACAGTACTTACCATTCCTGATTCCATTCATCTTGGATAGGCGATGCAGTAATATAACCTTGTAGGATCGTGGCTACACCGGACTCCAGGCAACCATAATCTTCATCCAAGAGAGAGTCTAATTGATAAGTAGCTAAGAGACTTTGAAGAGGGAAATTATGTAGAGTGATCATGGTAGAGGCAAGGGAAATGTCCACGTGATCGGATGTCAAAGCTGGAGACTATGCCTTCTTTTCTGAGTAGTCTCACCTCCCTGTGACGAATATTCTACCTACCTTTCCACTCCACAGAAACTCTCAATCCACCAGATAACCTGACAACCTTTGTTCACTTGTTTCCCTAGCCTTTCAATCTCTTCTATGACTTTTCTTAGCTTGACTCGAACTAATTCCCTTCTTTTACGCCGCTTATCATGCATCAAAATGGCAGGTACAATCTTGCTCCCAGGTACCTAGTGAGTTCAACCCCTTGGACCAGGCAGGATTCGTCAATTCGCGACTCAGCTCCAAAACCATGATGCCTTTGATCCATGAAGGTATCTTCTCATGAAGGCGAAAGGTCAAATACACTGTCTGTGAGCTCCAGACATTGAAGGGCTTGCAAATTTGCAGGTGTCGTGGGTTGAGCGTCACACCCCAGATTGTCGAGAACAGCGACTAATTATGTTTCTTAAGAGTCAGGTAACCGCACTTTCAAGACTCGTTTGCCGTTGCTCTATGCTCTTTTTCGATGGTGGCAACAAATCGAAGCAGTGCTGGCTGTCAGGTGAACATTCCGTGACATATTATGGCCGGTCCGATAAGATATCTTCGTATCTAATTGCTGGTGGAGTTTACTATGGTTGCCCAATTGGTTCCAGTCTATTGTCACATAGTATTAAACTTATTACGTTTTTCTGGGTATCTCAACGATTCCAAGATTGACCCCCACGCCTTCAAGAAGATGAGTCAACAAGCATAAGGCTCTGGAGCAATCATGGCTCAACCTTAATACGAAA